TGCACTTCAGTCTGGGCCACAGAGTGAGATTCCAACTCCAAAAAAAAAAAAAAAGACACAGTGTCCCTGTGCCTAGGTCTGCTTACGTCCTAGGGCAGCATCAACATGTGTACACTATGGCTGGGTCAGACCCTCTGTGCCCCCAGCAGCCTTAGGCTTGTGGGCGAAACAAGTGAGGGAGTGAAGGCACAAAAACTGTGCTGTCACCAGGAGTTGGTAAGTTGCACGAGCAATTCTGCCACTGTCACTGTCTTTCCCTGGGACCCACCTGGACCAGCCTGGCAGCCCTAAAGGCAAGGACCAAATCTGACTCATGTGGGCTGTGTCCTGCAAGGGCACTTGCACACCAGAAAGTTTTGAGGACTCAACGGCCTCTCCTCCTTCTTATTCATTCATTCAACCATAAGCTAGACTGCACAAAAATGAATAAACATCCTGAACGAATAGAAGAAAAAAGGGTCACACTCTCCAGTAAAACTTGGGTGGTGGACCATAGGGTCCCGGGAATCGGCATGTTGCACCATCGCCCCCTCGTGGTCATGTTGGTTACTGCTGGAGTCATCAACAGAGGCTGGGCTGGCCGTGGGGCGGGGCGCCTATGGGACAGTGTCAACACCACCACTGTCTCTCAGGGAGCATTTTCTCGTGCCCCGCCTCCTACGGCTGTGGTCCTGGGCTCGGGAGTGACTGGCATCTGTGCTGACGCTGATATGAACACGACGGCTGTGAGTATCTCACTCACCCTGCACCACGGTTGGCGAGTGCAAACCCTTCTGTAAAGCTCGTCAAACTCTCTTTAGGTGGAAGAGATGTGAAACGGCTGACATGGCTGCTCTTAGGAGTTAGGGGAAGTGAAGGCGGGGAGGACTCAGCCCAGGGAGGCTTGGGGCTGGTTTCCTGACAAGGGTGGGTGCAGGAGGCACCGTGAGCCGAGTCTAATCTGGGTCTCCAGCACTGGGGCTGGCACACGGGAGCCCTCAGGAAACAGGCTCTGAATGAATGAATGAATCAACGGAGAGTTCAAATATGTGCTGTCCTGTCTTCCTAGAAATCTTTCCTCCGCCTTGTCTGTCCGGGAAGCTTTTGTGCTCTCTACAGACCCGGGCCAGGTTCCTCCTGGGTTCAGGCTTCCAACAGCCAGTGGTGGGTCACAGGCCCTCCCTCTGCTCCCACAATGTCCCGGGCTCCCCTGCCCTCACCTCCTGCTTCCTGTCTGCCTCCTGTTCCTCTCTGCTTGAAGTCGGGGACTCCCCACACTGGGGCTCACTCACACACTCATTCCTTAGTCATTCTTTCCTTCGACACCTACCATGTATGGTGTCCATTGCTGGGACACAGCGCTTGGATCAGAGAAGGATGTGTGTTGCAGGGGCTCGAGGCCCCTACTGCCCCTGGGCTCCTGCCCTGGGAATGTTAGTGAGAGAAGTGACCCTCTCCCCTGATGGAGCTGTGATGTTTTGGGGTCTCCTTGTGAGAGCAGTTAAGCCTTGTCACTGATTAACCAAAGTAGCACAGGAAGGGGCCCATCACAGACCTTGGCCACATGTGATGCTCTGGCCACCAGAGCACCAGGTGCTCTACCTTTGCTACTGATGTAGTGACTTGTTGTCACCTGTTTTCACTGCAAAAGAAACTTTTCTCTCACTATCAGGAGCAGAAAACCAGCACTACCTGCCATAACAGAAAAGAAGTGTACAAATAAGTTCCAAGAAAACAGTACAACAGACTCATGTTCTAGCAGGTTCTGAGGCTGGCTTCAAACAGAGGCTTCTTGTGGGTCCTGGAAGCTGAAGCCCTCTGTCTCTTCCTCTTTCTGCAAAGATGTTAGGGGCATATTAACACCAAACTGAGACATCCTTGCCATTGTTTAAAGCCTCACCACCTCTCAGGGGACAGCTCACCTGTCGCCATCAACATGACACTTGCCCTGGGCATTAAACCTGTAAGTGTGGTACCCACAGCCACCAGATAGTCCCATGGTGGACACCCAGGGTCTGGCCTAGATTTCTGGCTTGCTGCGTGTTTCACCCTTTATATGCATCCTGTCTCCCCCACTAGGATATGAGTTCCCAAGGGGCAGGGATTTTCCTCTTATCTACTGTATTCCAGAGCCTGGGATAAGACCTGACATATAGTAGGTACTCGGACTTGTTCAAGGAAGGAAAGCTGTGTCCAGGCACCACCAGTCCACCTGCGATTGGCCTCTTGGCATAGAGCAGCCCTCATTTGAGTCCAAGTGCCTCTCTTTAGCAGCTGTGTGACCTGAGGTGATGACTTAGGCTCTCTGTGCCACAGATCGTAAGAGCACTTAGCACAGAGTTGATCTGAGGATGATATTGGGAAGTACTGGGCACAGTGCCTGGCACAGACAAGTGGATCACGAATGGTGGCTCTGAACAGTCACTATAAGAAAGCCACCGTGATGGGACACATCCCCTCCTCTGTGTACAAGCAGGAGCCTGAGATGTGGGGGTGCAGGAAGGCCTCCTTGGGGATGACAGTTAACTGACATGGAAAGGAAAGTGAAATTTAGGGCACTGGGGCCATGTACGCCAATCAAACACACACCCCACAATGTCACGTGGTTTCCAGGGACACAGACACATCTAAACAGACATTCGGGAGAGACAGTCACAGGTCGTGAACAGCAATGCAGCTAGAGTTTAAAACACAGTAATCCCGTGCCTTGGGAGGCTGAGGTGAGTGGGTTGCCTGAGCCTGCGGGTTCGAGACCCACCTGGGCAACTTGGCAAGACCTCATCTCTACAATAAATCAAAAATCAGCCAGGTGTGGTAGCGCGCGCCTGTAATTCTGGCTACTCGGAAGGCTGAGGCGGAAGGATCGCCGGAGCCCAGCAGTCGAGGCTGCGGTGGCCGGGAGAGGCCACTGCACTCCAGTCTGGGCGACAGAGTGAGACTCCAACTCAAAAAAAAAAAAAAAATAAAATAAAATAAAACACAGTATTGAAGGAAAGAAAGCGAGAAACAGAATGATGTTTAGAGCACAGCACTATTTATGCAAATTATATACACAGTACCAGCATATATAGCTCAAGGACACATACATGTCTGCACATGACTGATTTGGAAGGAGTCACAAATAGTGAACTTGGTGTACATACAGTGATGTGACTAAGGCTGTAAAGAACCGGAAACGGAAGAGATTCAGCGCAGAGCACTGTTTCTGCGTCACACACAGCACCATCACCACCACACAGCTTTAAGGTTACAAAGACATTTAAGCAAATGTGTCAGAACATACATGAAGTGTGTGTGGGTGGCGTCCACGGTTGAGAAGAGAGACGGGAGATATCAAGGGGGCATAAGAAAATGACAAGAGACTCAACGTGACAAAGTAACACCAGCACGTTAGGAACTGAGACGTATGACAAACTCAAGGCTGTTCACTGCAGAATCCACCCTCTGTCCACTCTCCCAGACAACGTCACCCTCTCCTGGGGCTTCGCTGTCAGCTCCCGAGACATCCGGAGGTCTGAGTCTCCACTTAGACTTCACTCCTGCACCTCAGGTGTGGAAGCCAACCGCCTCCTGGGCAGCCCCTCCTGGAAGTCTGCGGCAGCACTATCCTCCAAGTCCACACCACACGCCGATCCCAGTCTCTGGATCTGCAGGGCTTCCCTGTGTCCAACCGCCGCTGTCCTCGGTGCTGAACCCAAGCACCAGCATTTCCCTTAGACGCCAACTGCTGGTGTCCTCAGTGGCTCTCACCCCAGCAACACCAGCCCCCTACCCCGTGCGTCCACTTGTCGCTGTCCCTGGTGCTGAACCCACATCCTTAGCATCCTAGAGCCCAGCTGCTGGGTGTCTTTCGTGCTGAATCTCACTCCAGCTCTTCCCCATATGCCCAGTTGTCGCTGTCACCGGTGCTGAAACCTACCCCCGACACCCCATGTGTCAGGTTACCCGCTATCCTAGGTGCTGAATCTTAACCCCAGCACTTCTGTGTGCCAGATGTCTCTGTCACCGGTACCGAATCTCACCCCAGCACCCCACTGTGTCCAGCTGCTGCTGTCCTCGGTGCTGAACCCCTAGCACCTCAGAACCCAACTGCTGAATGTCCTTAGTGCTGAATCTAATCCCAGCACCTCCCCACGTCAAGCTGCCACTGTCCTTGGCTCTGGATGTTTACAACAGGACGGGCAGGACCCAGGGGCTTACACACAGAAGCAAAGGCACTGATCCTGGTGGCATGGACGCTGGCTGGCTGGTGGTGCCAATGCTGAGGCAGGGCCCAGTCTAACCCGCTCAGGGTGCCTGCATGTTTGTGAGGGGTGAACCACGGTTTCCTGCACACAGTGAGCATTTTCTAGAACCCAGGCTCTGTGCTAACTGCTGTGTGTGCCTGATGCCCTGAGCCCTTCTACAGCCCTGTGAGGTGTGTGCTAATGGCACACCAACACACAGACAAGGACACAGAGGCGTGTCCAGCTCCCAAGCCCAGGCAGGGGCTCCAAAGGATCCCAGAAGCCCTCAACTCTGAGAGATGCTACCTCCCTGTCCTTCCTGTTGCCTGTTGGGTTCTAGGTTTCTGCCCCGCCTGCAGGGGCACCAGGTCAGTGATGGGTTTTGTTGATCCCCAAACTCACTTCTCTTTCTGCTTCATAATCTCCTCAGCGTTGGGAAGGCAGTTTGTCCATGGCAGGAGCCCGTAGAGCCACTTCAGCATACAGTAGCCCAGGGTCTGGAGATCACTGCGGCGGGAGGGCCCTGGGAGGGCAGGGAAGGGGTGGCACTCAGTCTGGGTGCTCCAACGCTGACAGGCCCGCCCTTCCTTGCTCTCACTCAACCATGACTCATGCACTCAACCATCAGTCACGTGGGCCGCCTCCTCCATTCATGCCACTCTCAGTCTCTCACTTAACCATCCCTCCACCCCTTTCACCACCTCCCTCCCTCACCCATTGTCTTTCGTTCATGCACTCATTCAACGAATCCTCAGTGCACGAGCCATGAGCCAGGCCTCATCTCACATTCTGAAAACTCAGACAAAAGTCTAGTTGGGTCCCCATCCTCACACAGCTACAGGGCAGGATTTCCTGAGCTAGAGACAGTAGGACATGAGGGAGCCCAGAGGATGAGCAGGGAATCCAGCCTCGGGGGAAGGGCGAAGGAGACTGTGAGCTTCATTCTCTTGATGCCTCTAAATCACTTGATTCAGAGAACTCTGAGCACTCCACAAGTGTCGAGTATTGACTGTGCTCACTCCTGCCTTCTGATGCCGAGGCAGAGGTGCCATCCCTGCTGGGGGGAGGGGGGTCTCAGGCTAGTGGGAGGACACGGCAGATGTGTGGACTGCCATGATATAAAGGGGCTGAGAAAGGGGGGCTCAAGACACCTTCCCCGGGTCCTCTTCCCTGCTACACTTTCCTTGGGTAGCCCCCTCCTTCCCAGGGCTGCAGCTCACAATTCCTTAGATACTGCAGAGGTGTGGGCCTCTCTGTCCAGAGCTCACTCCCTACTCGAGACATGGGAGCCAGCTGCCTCCTCAAAAGCCCCTCCTGGATGACTCTAAGGCATCTCTCTCACCTTCCCAGGCTACACCAGATCCAGGATCCCAACCTCTGGAACTCAGGGCTACCCAGTGCTCTGCCTCCCGCTGTCCTTGGTGCTGAACCGCCACCACAGGTTCCTTAGTGGCAGGATGAGACCCAGGGTCCTGATCCCCTGTCCTGGCACCTTAGCGCCTCTCCTGTGTCTGGCCACCTGCTCTCCATGGCTGAGAAACCCTAGGCCGCCCGTGCATGGGAAGCATGTCTCCAGGGTCCCGAGCGCCCACCCGGCCTCTTACCACATCCCTTGTGCAGGTCCATGCTAATGAACTCAAGGTCCCCCTCGTGGGGGCTCCTGCTGCCTTCCATGTAGGTCACGTGTTTGCCGCTTGGGCAATAGCGGAAGGCAAAGCCATATCCCACCAGGGTCACCTGTGCACATGGGAGAAGCCATACACTGGGGTCAGATGTGCGGTCCCAGAGTCAGACGTTTCCATTGTGTGTACAACTGGAAACGACCCATCCATTAAAGATGACATTTTCATTTTGTTTTTTGTTATTTCAATGAGGCGAGGTCTCACTATGTTGTCCAGGCTGGTCTCAAACTCCTGGGCTAAAGCAATCCTCTCATTTTGGTCTCCCAAGTACTGGGATTACAGGTGTGAGCCACCACGCCCAACTAAAGATGACATTTAAAATTTATAAAACGGATTGGGCATGGTAGCTTACGCCTGTAATCCCAGCACTCTGGAAGGCTGAGATGGGAGGACTGCCTGAGCCCAGGGGTTCAAGACTAGCCTGGACAACTCGGTGAGACCCTATCTGTACAATATATAAAAAAAATTAGCCAGGTGTGGCAGTGCACAGTGTCTGGCAAATTGGAAGGCTGAGGCGGAAGGATAGCCTGAGCCCAACAGGCTGAAGCTGGGGTGTCCATGAGAGTGCCACTGCACTCCAGCCTGGCTGACAGAGTGAGATTCTGACAATAAATAAATAAATTAATTAATTTATAAAACAAAGCCTGCTCTCAGGAAAAATGCCAAATAGTAGGGAAAGGTGTGAAGCAAAGAGAACCCAAACCAGCTCCCCTACTTCCCCCCAGCCCCCAAACCACTGCCCAGACGTAACCACTAGTGACAGTTTCACAGGTCTCATCCCAAAGGGTTTTCTTTAAAAAAACAGGTAAGCAGCTGGTCTCGGTGGCTCAGCCTGTAATCCCGCACCTCTGGGAGGCTGAGGTGAGTGGATTGCTTGAGCCCGTGGGTTTGAGACCCACCTGGGCAACTTGGTGAGACCTCATCTCTACAATAAATCAAAAAATCAGCTGGGCGTGGTAGTGCGCGCCTGTAGTTCCAGCTACTTGGAAGGCTGAGGTGGAAGGATCACCGGAGCCCAGCAGGTCGAGGCTGCGGTGGCCGGGAGCGGCCACTGCACTCCAGTCTGGGCGACAGAGTGAGACTCCAACTCAAAAAAAACAAAAAACAAAACCAGGTAAGCATATGTGAACGGGGGCCGGAGGGTGCTCGTGTTTGCCAGAGGCCTCACACTGTTCCTCCTGACAGACCTGAGCTTTCTCATTTTAACAGTAGTGCAGGGCATTAGCTCTGGGGCCAGATGGCCTAGGTTCAAATGGCAGCTCAGCCTTTTGGTGGTCGTACAACCTTGCTTGAGTTATGAAACTTTTCCGAGCTTTGATTTCTCCATTTGTAACAGGATGCTAATAATAGTCCTGTACCTTGAAGGGCGGTTATGGGGCTTCACTGAGTGCTTTCATTTGGACGTCTGACTTCTCTAAACCTTTCTTGAATTTGGTCCCAATGTTGGAGGTGGGGCCTTGTAGGAGGTGTTTGGGTCATGGGGGCGAATCTGTGAATAGCTTAATGCCCCCCTCAGGGGTGGGTGAATTCTCACTCTCAGTTCCCAAGGAGCTAGTTGTTAACAAAGAGCCCAGCACCTCCCCCGTTTTGCCTCATCTCTAGCAGGGCGATCTCTGGGGACCACTAGGAGTAGAAGCAGCCTGAGGGCCTCACCAGGTGCCCAATCTTGCATTTTCCAGCCAATCATGAGTCAGATAAACCTGTTTTTTTTTCATTAGAAACCACCTAGCCTCAGGCATTCCTTTCTTTCAACATAGTATGGACAAAGACACTGAGTTAAAAACCAAAGATTACAGAAAGTCAAGCACATTGTTTAAATGACTGTATTTTATGCTACTATATGATAGTGGATGACTGTTGGCTTTGTCTATGCAAAACCTCCCCACCCCTTTCTGGCCACAGCTTGTGATGGTCAACTTTGTAAGGCAACTTGACTGAGCTATGGGGTACCCAGAGGTTTGGCCAAATCTTATTCTGGGCTTGTTTATAAGGGTGTTCCAGATGGGATTAACATTTAAGTTGGGAGGCTGACTAAGGTACAGTGCCCCCCCTACTGTGGGTGGGACTCATTCAATCATCTGAAGATATGAACAGGACATAAATCTGAGTTAGAGGGAATTGGTGGTCAGGTGCAGTGGCTCAAGCCTGTAATCCCAGCACTTTGGAAGGCCAAGGTGAGAAGATTGCCTGAGCCCACAGGTTTGAGATCAGCCTGGGCAACTTGGTGAGAACTCATCTCTACAATAAATCAAAAAATTAGCCAGGTGTGGTAGTTCACCTATAGTTCTGGCTACTTGGAAGGCTGAGGTAGAAGGATTGCCTGAGCCCAGTGGGTTGATGCTGGGGTGGCCATGACTCCAGCCTGGGCAATGGATTAAGACTCCAACTCCAAATAAAAAAAAAAAAAAAAGAGGGAATTGGAAGTCCTCCTGCCTGACTGCTCAAGTTGGGATATTGGTCTTTTCCTGCCTTTGGACTTGAACCAAACATCGGCTCTTCTTGGATTTTGAGACAGCTGGCTTTTGGACTGGAAACTTAGACCTTCAGCTCACTTAGGCCTCCAGGTTGCAAACTCTAGATCTGGAGACTGTTCAGCCTCATAATCACACGAGGCAATTCCTTATAATAAATATCTTCATATTTAAATAAACACACACGGTTGGGCTTGGTGGCTCAGCCTGTAATCCCAGCACTTTGAGAGGCTGAGGAGAGTGGAGTGCCTGAGCCCGCAAGTTCAAGACCAGTCCGGGTGACCTGGCAAGACCTAATCTCTACAATAAATTAAAAAAAAAAATTAGCCAGGTGTGGTAGTGCACCAGTAGTTCTGTAGTTCTGGCTACATGGAAGGCTGAGGAGGAAGGATTTCTGAAGCCCAGCAGGTCGATGCCTGGGTGGCTGTAAGTGTGCCACAGCACTCCAGCCTGGGCAACAGAGTGAGACTCCAACTCAAAAAACAAAAACAAAAAACAAAAAAAGAAATAAATACACACACACACACACACACACACACACACACACACACCCCATTGGTTCTATTTCTATGGAGAATGGTGACTAACACACAGTTCTGGGATTTTCCTCTGGGACTTCCTTTCCCCAACTCTCAGCCCATGCCGTTGAGGTAGGGCTCACCTGATCTGTTTCTGCTGGGGTTGCTGAACTTTGGGAATTTAAGCCTGATTTGCTGGTGGCAATTGTGTCACCCCGAGGGAAGAATCAGCCTGACGACAAGCAATGCAGAAGTGACATAACCCCAGAGACGGAAGAGCCAGCTTCCCAGTGACAGGGATTGAGTTCCTAGATCCAACCATGCCTGAAGAAAGTCAAGTCCTGGATTTTTCCATTCCATGGAATAATCAACAGCACAATTTCTTTCTTTCTTTCTTTCTTTTTTTGGTGGCTTGTTTAAGCCATGTTTAACTGGGTCAATTTGCAATGGAAAGAGTACTTAGAAGTTACTTCAAAATACTATTTAATCTCTGGGCTCAGTGGCTCAGTCTGTAATCCTGTGCCTTGGGAGGCTGAGGTGAGTGGATTGCCTGAGCCCACGGGTTCAAG